TCTGGCCAAATATCATCACCCTAGGCCTTATGGTTACTGAAAAGAGGTTGTTTAAAGTAAAATGTTGACGACGGACGAACGGACGGACGACAGACCACGCACCATGCCATAAGCTCACTTGGCCCTCGGGCCAGGTGAGCTAACAATGTAAAAGCTTCCTACCTAGACTGAGAGCCAGACTAAGGTTGGTCAGTCCAGAGCTGACCATTAACAATGTAAAAGCTTCCTACCTAGAATGAGAGCCAGACTAAGGTTGGTCAGTCCACAGCTGACCATAAACGATGTAACAGTTTCCTACCTAGACTGAGAGCCAGACTAAGATTGGTCAGTCCACAGCTGACCATTAACAATGTAAAAGCTTCCTACCTAGACTGAGAGCCAGACTAAGGTTGGTCAGTCCACAGCTGACCATTAATGATGTAACAGTTTCCTACCTAGAATGAGAGCCAGACTAAGATTGGTTAGTCCACAGCTGACCATTAACAATGTAACAGTTGCCTACCTAGACTGAGAGCCAGACTAAGGTTGGTCAGTCCAGAGCTGATGTCCTGCTTTACTCCGGTGTCCTTGTTTACAGTTTTACTGTCGGGCGTAGTGAGGAGCTGACCGGCTCGTACTTCTGTGGTACTGGGTTGGAATACCGGCATTTCAATATGCTCCAGTTCTTCACAACAAACCTTCTCCAGGGCGTCGTAAAAGTCAAAGTTGGCCGCCTGAAACAGATCCGTCAATACTGACTCTTTTATAACTTTGTCAGATCACAGATTTTAGCTCGGTATACATGTATATGATGCTAATATTCGTATTTATCATAGTCCCGTACAAAGCAGGAAAACATCAGATTTGATGACATTCAGTCATATCAAGGTCATCGAGATTATGTTTCTCTTTCAAATATTCCATACAGAATTTAATTATTCAAAAGTTGAAGTAAAATGAGTGACCTAAAGATATGGGACTACAGGATGACCATCTTCGGTTTCGAATCAATGCAAAGACTAACAGAACTTATTCAGGATTATGAGAGAATTATTCATTAATCAGGATTATGAGAGAATTATTTTATTATTCAGGATTACGAGAGAATTATTCATTATTCAGGATTATGAGAGAATTATTTTATTATTCAGGATTATGAGAGAACTATTCGAATACCAAAAGTTGACATTGTCTTCATGGGGCTTATTAAAAAAAAGTTGAATGCATATCATCAAATTAAAGGACAAATATGTTAATCTAAACTTTTGAACAAGACCAAAAATTAGCGACACCCTTGATACCTTGAATCCCTTTTATCCTGGAATGCTTTGTATCAAATAATAAAGTTCTAATCTTTTTATCATTTGTTTAGGTACCGTCTTTTAAAGGTTTAGCCTACTTGGCCCCGCTCCTTCACCATCAGGGAGAACACCCCCCTCATTTAAACAACATTAAATTCCCTTGATCAAGGAATGCTCTGTACCAAATTAGGTTAAAATCTGTCTGTCAGTACTCTAGAAGTAAATATTCACTTTTACTTTTACCCATAAGGCCCCACTCTTCTGCCCCTAAGGGGACCCCACACCCTTCATTTATACAATGTTGAAGCTTTAGCTCAGGGAAGTTTCATACCAAAACATTTATCAAGGATGAAGGGGAGAGTGGAGGCAGGTCGAGCAAGACATATCCTTTGATTATACAAAATTGAATCCTTTTGGCCCAAAAGAATGTTCCATTTTTTCCAAATCTTTTCAACTGATCTGTATGAAAAATTGAATATTGACAGATACCAAATGTTGTGACCTGGTATACTTACAAGCTCACATTTCCCTGCAGGCCAGAAGTTCAAAGTGAGCGGAGGCTCATATATATACATATATACCCCCCCTCTCCACCTGAATTTGGCCATGACCTTTAACCCTTTTACCCTGACCGATTACCACCAAAAACTAATCAGGTGTAGAACACAATATTACTAAATGATGGTGTAAATATGAACTAAATCTGTTGTGGGGTTTTGAGATATATTGTACACAAGCTATTTACTTCAAAAGTTGTTAAGTGTAATCTTTGACTGACCTTTGACCCTTTAACCTTGACCCATACAACAGGCCCAGGGGGCCTGTATCACTCACCTGGAAATCTAAGCAATCATGGCAAAATATTCTCCTAATGAGATCCAAGGGAATATGCCAGACCCCAAGGCCAATCCTTGTAGCATATCTGTATTAGATTTTTCATGCCCAGCAATTTTATGTATGGTTATAGGGTGGGGATCTCAAGATGTGACTAAGAAACTAGTTCCCTAGGGGTTCGGTCACACCCCAGGGTCTATTCTAATATCATGACTGCATTCGTCTCTTTATGCCCAGCATTTGTATGTATAGTTTTGGGGAGGGGATCTCAACTGTTTCAAAGTTATGACCCAGGGACTATGTCTCCAAGGGGGGGGCCAGACCCTAGGGAAGCAACTGTGCATTCTTCTCTTTATACTCAGCAATGGTATATATGGTTATACAGAGGGGATCTCAACCATTTCCAAGTAATAAACTTTTTTTGGCTCCAGTCCTAATAGCCTGGGGGGTCAGCCCCAAATTTTCTACAATTTTGAATCCCTGCCTCCCATGAATGCTTCCGACCAAATATGGTCGATATCCATAGCACAGTTCTACAGAAGAAGTCACTTAAAGCAATATAGCCAAATTAACCCCTTTTGGCCCCGCCCCTCAGCCTTCTGGGGGGTCAGCCCCACCATTTGTACAATTTTGAATCCCCAACACCTAGGGATGCTTCCAGTCAAATATGGTTGATATCCATCTCTTAGCTCCAGAGAAGATTGCCCCCTTTTGGCCCCGCCTCTCAGCCCCCTGGGGCGTCAGCCCAACTATTTGTAGATGCTTCCAGTCAAATTTAGTTAAATTCTAATCAGTGGTTAAGAAGAAGTCGTTTAAAGCAATTGTTGACGTACAGACGTTCAAATCTAGTGAAGTGTAGACACCTTTATTACTACACTCTGGTGTAAATATGAATTAAATGAGTTGAGAAATTCATGAGATATCTTGTACACAAAGTGATTTCCTTACTATATACTGTACCCCCTCACTAAGTGTGGGGTAGAACAAACCTCTTAACCCATCCTTATCACACGAGTTAACTAGACCATGACACAATAATGTAAACAGCCAATCATTAAGGTCAATGGAGTTGTTCTGCATGTGCATAAATGAATGGCAGCATTTTCAGTAATTATTTTCAATCCCTTCAAAAGAATCTACTTAATCAATCAACATAGACATTTCAAACTAGTGCTGACGTCAGGTTATGTCATCTACTTTAATTCATTACATAGAAAGTATAGGAATATACATGTACAGCGTGGTACATTTAGGACATTTTAGATCCATCATTCCTCAAATAATTACACTTTCAAAATGATGCTATATAGAGATGACATTTGTATTGACTTGTTGAAGAGCTGACAGATTGGAGAGGACCTTGAGGTATATAAAGGGGAGAGGGTACTGAGGGGTAATTATAGATTGGAGAGGACCTTGAGGTATATAAAGGGGAGAGGGTACTAAGGGGTAATTATAGATTGGAGAGGACCTTGAGGTATATAAAGGGGAGAGGGTACTGAGGGGTAATTATAGATTGGAGAGGACCTTGAGGTGGTGAAAGGGGAGAGGGTACTGAGGATGGAGGTAATTATAGATTGGAGAGGACCTTGAGGTATATAAAGGGGAGAGGGTACTGAGGATGGGGGTAATTATAGATTGGAGGAGACCCTGGGGAGTTGGTAATCGTGGTGGTGGTGAAAGGGGTGGGGTGGGGGGGAACAAGGTCCCAAGGAATATTTTCAATCAGGTATGAATCATCCCCTGAGGTTTGAACAAACAGATTTTTGTGGTTTCGAGCTGGTATGATAAAATCCTGATTTGTATACAGCATTCCTGACCCTGGTAAAATCTCATCTCTCACACATGTTACTGCTGTCTATAGCAGGGGCTTCAGGGAGACAACATTTAGGAATTCCTTGATACTATCTAACTTGATTAAAACGGAATACAAGCTTGGCTAATAACATCAAAAAATGATGAGTAATAAGGCAGACCTGATAATAGACAAGCTTCTGACTTTGGAAACAGAATTAGAAAGTTTTCTCATTTCACATCCAAAAACACATACATTTAATGTACCAGTATGTGAATACAATGTGTATATATATAGTGTATTTCTTTTTTGGGTGCAAACAGCTGCAGACTTAATACATATATATATATATATATACAAAATATTATTTGTATAATATATAAATAATAAACATGTTTTTGTTAGCAAAATAAATGTGGGAACATCTATTCCCTAGCATCAGTGATCACTGATGAGTCCCAGAAAAATGAAACAGCTGTATATTGCTGTATAATGCTGTATATTGCTGTATAATGCTGTATATTGCTGCATAATGCTGTATATTGCAGTGTTATACTGTATATTGCAGTGTTATTCTGCATATTGCTGTATATTACTGTATATTGCTCTTTATTTCTGTATATTGCAGTGTTATTCTGCATATTGCTGTATATTACTGGATATTGCTGTATACTGCAGTATATTGCTGTACATTACTTTGTACTGCAGTGTAATGCTGTACATTGCAGTGTTATACTCTATATTGCAGTGTTTTGCTGTATATTGCTGTATATTATTGTATACTATAGTGTTATACTGTATATTGCCGTATATTACTGTATATTGCTCTTTATTTCTGTATATTGCAGTGTTATTCTGTATATTGCTGTATATTACGGTATACTGCAGTGTAATGCTGTACATTGCAGTGTTATACTGTAGATTGCTGTATATTACTGTCTATTGCTGTTTATTACTGTATATCGCAGTGTTATTCTGTATATTGCTGTATATTATTGTATACTATAGTGTTATACTGTATATTGCCGTATATTACTGTATATTGCTGTAATTTACTGTATATTGCTGTATACTGAAGTGTAATGCTGTTTATTACTGTATATCGCAGTGTTATTCTGTATATTGCTGTATATTAATGTATATTGCTGTTTATTACTGTATACTGTAGTGTAATGCTGTATATTGCTGTATACTGAAGTGTAATGCTGTTTATTACTGTATATCGCAGTGTTATTCTGTATATTACTGTATATTGCATTGCTATGCTGTATATTGCTGTATACTGCAGTATATTGCTGTACATTACTTTGTACTGCAGTGTAATGCTGTATATTCCAGTGTTATACTGTATATTGCTGTATATTACTGTATATTGCTGTTTATTACTGTATATTGCAGTGTTATTCTGTATATTGCTGTATATTACTGTATATTACTGTATACTGCAGTGTTATACTGTATATTGCTGTATATTACTGTATATTGCAGTGTTATACTGTATATTGCTGTATATTACTGTATATTGCTGTAATTTACTGTATATTGCTGTATATTACTGTATATTGCTGTATATTACTGTATACTGCAGTGTAATGCTGTATATTGCGGTGTAATTCAGTTTTTGGTATACTGTATCTGTTACCAAAGTTTAAAGGTGCATTACATGTGTTTGTTACATTCATCTTATATAGAGAAAAAAAATGTAAGAAAAAAATGTGCAGACAGCTGCAGATTATAATTGGGGTTTTTTCTAGAAAATAAAGTGTGGTGTGAGCTGCAGATTTTTTAATGTACAGAATACATA